TATCGCATTGCGGTAGTGCAGGGCCACCTCCAACCTTTGGGCTAGGTCTACATTTTCGGCCCAGAAATCCTTTACTAGTCCTTCGAGCTAGATACTTGTGCTCAAGGCTTGAGTGACGTATGTATTGTTAGCCATTACTAAGTCTTCGATCATGCACGATAATGTGTGGTCCTCCACACATCTATCCAGTATTTGATGTTGACCACGACTATTAAGGCCGATTCAAAAGGAAAGGCCTTCTGCACTTCTCTCACTGGCTCATTCGAGTTGGTCTCAAAAGATCTTTCGCCATATCTGCAGACGATCTTTTCCTCTTCGACATATCTGACGTCGAAACAACTTTTGAATCTTCGTAAGTGGTAGGTGCCTCGACCATTCCTGGAGGCATCTTATCCTTCATTATGATCCTAGTCGGGATGTTGGATTTATGAGTTGGGAGCCTCGCCATGGTGGGTCCCTTTGTAGATGACCCAGCTGCACATTTTTCCTTTCTTTTTCAGAGGTACCTCCTTTTCTTCTTCTTCCTCGACAATAGGGAGCTTTTTCTTGGCACTCACCAGGTTCTCGATTTACTTATTATAAGCTGCTGAGGAAGTCTTTGATGCCCTAGCCTCGCCATCGGTCGCTGGGTAGCGGCAAAGTCTTACTTTAGGGGCTTTTTCTTCGCAAAGTCATATGTAAAAAGAACGTGTAAAGTGTAAGGCCATAGTTCAACGAACCTGAAACAACTATATTTTGGAACATTTACCTTGGGCGGCCATCAATCTGTTGTTAACGAAGTGTATATTCTTTTTTATGAGCTTGTTGTACGACGATTCTTTTGCGGAAGCTAGTAAATAACGTAAATGGTGTCAATGTTCTCCATTGACAGCTCGCATCGAGGCAATCCACCTGCTTAAGTAAAATGATTAGATGATGAACACGAATAAACTAACGTGAAATCAATTCCTAGGGTACTTACTCTCGTCGGAATCGTCAGAGGTGCCAGGGAGTTATCTTCTATTGTGTCCTACCTTTTGGAAGTCCAGCATCATGAGCTTTTCCAATCTTTTATTGAAGACGGTAAATTAATCGTATGAGCCTTCCTATGACGTCAAATAATACCACCTCTAGTCTTATTGCACCCCATGGTTACTTTGGTATGTAGAGGATTTGAAAAACAGAAAATGAGATCACTACCATATAAGAGGCTTCTTGCCATAAAATTCACGACCTTACAATTTGGATCCAGAGTTCGGGCTCAGCTGTGTAGGAGTTAGCTAGACCATAGGACCCCAAAATGAAGTGAAAAGAAAAGGTGAATGGAAAACCTAAACCCTGTCTTAAAGATAGCCTCACTCATCGCCACACACCCAGGCCTTAGATAATAGGTTAGCTCATCAGGGTCCGGAACTATAGGACCTAAGCTATTTGAGATCCTATAATTCACCTGCAATTTTTCTAAGTAAACAATCCTCATCTTTGAGGGGTAGTCAGAGGCTCCCCATTGAACTGAAGTATCCATCGGGCTATCTGGCATTTCCAAATATTTTTCCCCAACTATGGACCTAGATAGTTCGTCTGAACCAAGTACCATTGGTTCGTCTAGCCTATACGTTACCAACTTATCCCATCACCTCGTCTGGCATTTCAAAAGTCATTTTTTCTAAGAAAAATTATGAAAATGGTAAAATTGTTCCAAATGATTTACCTAAATCGTGAATATTGTTATCAGAAGGCTATTGAAAAACTCCATGGAACACAAGAACTTTATCAGAATTTATATTTGGAGAATGGAGATTGTAATTTCGTTTCGCTAAAAGTGAAAAGTTTGCAAGGTAGGCGAATGCCTTATATAGGCAGCTTCCATTGACCGTAACCATTGGATAAAAATCAAGGCTGTTCATTAGGGTATTGATCCGTTCATTAGGATATTGATCTAGGCCGTTGAAATCAAACATAAAAAAGGCTCGACGTCCGTGATATGACAGTGCAACATATGCACCCGTGTGACGCGTGTCCTCGAGCCTTGATAACCATATTGCCATGATTAGCAGCAACATATTTTTCTTGGAAGCAAGCGATGGTTCAGCTGTTTTTCTTGAAAACATGCAACATCCTTCAAATCATTAACACAATTCCCATTTAAAGCTTCCTTGTCCTCCTATAGAACTGCGCCTCTGCCAATCCAACTCTTTCTCAAAGTTGCTACCCTTTAGAGCCTCGCCCTCTTGTAGGATCGTGCATTTGTCAATCCAGCTTTTCTCAAAACTGCTACCATTCAGAGTCTCGTCCTTTTGTAGGACCGAGCCTTTGTAAATCTAGCTTTTCTCAAAGTTGCTACCCTTCGGAGCTCCGTCCTCCTTTAGGACTGCGCTTCTGCTACTAGCTTTTCTCAAAGTTGCTACCATTCAAAGCCTCGTCCTCCTGTAGGACTGCACCTCTGCAATCTAGCTTTTCTCAAAACTGCTACCATTCAGAGGCTCATCCTTCTATAGGTCCACACCTTTGCCAATCCAGCTTTTCTCAAAGTTACCACCCTTCAAAGCCCCATCCTCCTGTAGGACAACGTCTGTGCCAATCCAGCTTTTCTCAAAGCTTCCATTCTTTAAAACCTCATCTTCCTATAAGACCACACCTATGCTAATCTGCTTTTCAAAAATTGCTACCCTTCAGAGCCCCGTCCTCCTGTAGGATCTTGTCTCTGTCAATCTATCTTTTCTTAAAGTTGCTACCACGCCTCTGTCAATCCATCTTTTCTCAAAGATGCTACCATTCAGAGCTTTGTCTTTCTGTAGGACCATGCCCCTGCCAATCCAGCTTTTCTCAAAGTCGCTACTCTTCAGAGCCCAGTTCTCCTATAGGATCGTGTATCTACTAATCCAGCCTTTCTCAAGGCTGCTACCATTCAGAGCTTCTTCCTATAGGGTCATGCTAATCTGGACTTGGGGACCACTATGACGCCATCTACGACGAGTCACCAAGTAATCAAACACAGGCCACACTTTGAGATGTCGAAGCGCCTAACACGGCAATATAAAGTGAGGCAAGATCCCCTGGTGGGTCCGAAGTGGTATAAATTCGAGCTGCAATGCTTAAAAGTTTCAACACAAGATACGGATCTGCTCAAAATAAAATCTTACGAATGATGGATGTGACATTTCTATAGTAGGTGCCAATGTGTCAACTCGAAGTCAAAAACATTAAATGTTTGCCCATCTATGGAGTGATAGATGGAAGTCTACGAAGAGACACTTTGAACCAGTAGATGAAGCCACGTAGTCTACATTCAACGGTTCTCCTTCCACCATTTTCCCTATAAATGCTTACGTTCTAAACATTTGTAAGGTAATGTAACTTCACAACCCAAATAACTACCATTTTCTCCTTCCATTTGAGATAATTTAAAAAGGTCTAGCGGTCTTTGCTATCAGAATCAGTTGTGTAGATTTTAATCGACTAACTTGATCATTGGAGTATTTGTGATCGCAACTACCATTGCTAGGAATGGCTACGAACTGTTGACCGTTTGTGCCAAGTGTGTAGGGGGGAATATACGTGGAGTTGCTTTGCGTTGGTCACATGAAAGTTTATTTTTCAAGGTCAGCAAAATCTATATCTCCTACCTAGATTTTCGATTTTTATTATTTCATTTAAACAAATAGTTTACCTCTTTATTTATTATCATTCGCACGTAAATCAATTATCGATCAAATGATTAATTGCATAATAAATTAATAATTTACTTCTCAGTTCATTTTCAACCACATATTCACAATAAATACTCTGCATATAAATTCAAAATTTATCTTATTTTTTAATCATACATTCTCTAAAAATTTACTATTCAAACTTTTATTTTTACCAAATGATGACCATCAAACGGGAGCTTAATGATAAAAATGATTAACAATATCAAACAAAAACCAAATCATTAATAATTAAGACAAACTTAGGCTACCTCGTTTATATCTAAGAAATTTCATTTTTTTTATTTTTTTAAAATTATTTTATTTTTAACATTTGGAACTTTAGCAGCAACGTTTTCTTTATAATTTTTTTCTTTCTATATTTTCATCATTTTACAATGTTTTAATGGAGGAAATGAATGACAAGGACGATCTGCACCATATTAAACGAGAGTGAAATACGCTAAAATAAGAGTAATTGTTTGTCCCATTTGAGTGTATGTAGACCCTTATGGACCTAAAATTATGTAACTATAAATTTATATTTTGAACTATCTATCTTTGTTATTTTAAAATTTACACAAAAGCGACAAGCTAATTATCAACATGTAGATCAATATATAAGGATTTTTACTATTCATCTTAATAAGGTTGATATTTCATTAAAGAATCTCAAATCTTAATATATTCAGAGACCATTAATCTTAAGCTAGAAATTTGATCTAATTCAAATTAAAAATCGAGCACATAAATTTTAAAATTGATCTACTCAAACGAATTACCATCTTATAGGACATATTAGAATAAATTTCACATCAACCAATCACCAAAATATAAATTAATATATAAGGATTTAGATCATATATTTTAATAATATTGACATTTTAAAATTGAACACAAGTCTTAATAAAGGTGAATGAAGAAAAGAAATATTAAAAGTACATTTTAAAATTTCAAAATACGTTTTTTTTTCAACCACACATTATTTAATAAAATAATATTACACGTAAATTAAAAAATCTTCCTTATTTTTTAATTACACATTCTCCGTCAATTTACTACTTCAAAATACATTCTAACCCAAAAAATGGGGCTCAAACATGCCGATTTTTTAAAATCAATTTAATTTCAATTTACAATTTCGTCAAACCCTTATGTTTAATTCGAAAATATATATAAAAAAACCCATCAAAATCCAACTTTTTATGCCTAAAAATATAAGAATAAGGTTAAAAATTCGCCACATGAACTGAGGTTATAACATTATTTAAAAAATAAAAAAAATAAAAAATTCTCAATTCCTGGCGCCCAATATTTTTATTTTTCTGGTCGGTTCGAATTACGCGTCTAAGTAAACATTCCTATATCAACGTCAATGGCTCAGGTACAAATAACATAGCATATCGTAATCAAGATTCGCAAAATACTTAAAAATTCATTTGCCCAAGCAAAGGAACTCGAGAACACAGAGAAGAATTATTTTAGCTTGCGTTGCGGAGTAGGTATGTTATTTTAATTTAATTATGATGATTATATTTGATGGGTTTCATTTCTTTTCCTTTTTGTTTTCTTTTCCTTTTTCTTGAATTGATTGACATTGATTTTGCCACTTCCCCCATTTTTGTTGGCTCATTTTTTGCTTGTATGATTGAGTTATGTGTTGTTTCAGCTCTGATCTGTTTATGATTTACCAAAAGTGAAATAATTTTTATTTTATTTTAAATTTTGATTTCTCCAAAAACATGGGACTCAAATATTTCTGTAGTCAGTCCTGTTACAATTTTCTTGTATGCTGAAAATTTTCCATTTTAAATCTCTAGTTGCTTGTTTTAGATTTTCTTCTTCTTCTTCTCTCTTTTTTTTTTTTTTTTTTATATGATGTTGTGCGTTCTTGATTTATCTTTATGTGGTTTTCACTCTTTATCCTCATTTGAGTTTCGTTGACGGTTTGCAGAGGCGGTGTAATCTGTGTATATTGTGGGTCTCTGACTGATAAGCCATGGTAAAGGATACAGTATATTATGACATCTTGGGAGTCGATGTTGATGCCTCGCCCGCGGATATTAAGAAGGCTTACTATATCAAGGTAAGGTTACAGTAGTTATGTTTGGTATGTTGAATTACACCAGAAAAGGAATCGAGTATAAAATTATTCTTGATATAGTATGTAGACATTATTGTAGAGGATTTTATAGTACTTTTTAGTTATTTATTGGAAAGAATATTATCTGCACTACCTTTCTTAAGCTAACTGTATGATATCTGTAATATGGAGCGAGTAGGTGAGTTTAAGTAGGAATAAGATAAGAAATATAGTTCAAATAGCCTTCTTATCCATCTTAATCCATCCTATTACTATGTACTATCGCATCTAGTTTTATGCATAATTTCTTGTACGGTCTACTCTGGTGTGCCAAATGTAGGCTTACTGTATATTTGGTACACATTACTCACAATATTAAATAAGAAAAAGGAGCTATAATCTTGTTCATAATACCATCCAGTTCCATCCAATACTCGGTACCAAACATATTGTTAATGTGTGTTTCAGTTGAAGATTCTCATTACAAGTGCATCAATAAGAATGAAGTCTGGTGAATAAATGCTTTTACGGGCACAATCAAGCAAAACCGACTACTTTCACTCTGCACTGTTGCTTATTCCTTTTTATTGTTAAGCCTGTATGCATGTGTCTGCACTCTGCAGTCAAAATACTTTTATTGTGAAGAACTAAGATAGACAATAAGGAACCTTATATTGCTTAATATCTTGATGATTATTCAAAACTCAGCTACAAGTTTGTCTTCAAATTTGGAATTTAAAACCCATAGTTTCATAGATACCATCTGGCCTCAGCTAGCGTATTTTTTTCTTCAGTGTCTAATTTCTCCCTGTGCTTAAAGAAGTGAGGAATTGTTTTTCGTATCTAGAGTATGGAGAGTTTAATAGACGGTAAAATTTATAACGTCAATTCTCGGAGAAACCTTCTTATGAAATTAAAAAATTCTATTCAGTTCAATTCTTTTATTTTTGCATGTTTTTGAAACCACTCCATGAAACTTAGAGAACAGGAGAGATGTCTGAGATCACATTGAAATTCTTGAAACTTGAATTAATTCTTTTGTATTTCTGGTGTAGGCCAGGGTCGTCCACCCTGATAAAAATCCTGGAGATTCACAAGCTGCTCACAATTTCCAGGTAACAAACTCTTTTAGCATTATACATTTAATCATCAATTTTTATTTATTTTTTAATGGCATCTATGTGTTGAACATGAAAAGGCCCTGACATCTCTGTTCATGTTTGTTTGTGAAGACAATAGTTGTGTATATCTTGGTTTACATTGCAGAATTCAACTTGTCCTTTTACTAATATATTGTAGTAGTGCTTCCCTTGATTGTACTATTTTTTTAATTGTTGTATTTGTCTAATAGTAACTCACAAATCTCGATTAAATGCATGTTTGATAGCCTACAAGACCTTTAATAGCTTATGTTAAATATTGAACTACATAAAATAGAGAGATTAAATGCATGTTTGATAGGTGATTATAATTGTTTTAACTATAAATAGACAAATATAATTGGTGAATAAGTGCGTAATACTTGTGGGTCTCACAAAATGTGCGGATAAAAAGTATTTGACTAGAAGTGATCAATAAAAAAGCACCTACTCAAACACGCTTTAAATTTTGTTACCCTTGTTGCATGATCGTTGTAGTTTGCTTACTATCAATGGAGACCATCACTACTGACCTTCCAATTATTACCAAGATCGATTACACCAGATGTGTTAGCTGAAATTTCTTGAGGATGCAATATGAGGAATTATTTAATCTCGTTCTTTTTTCCTGCAAGGAAGAAAACAAATGCATGCCAAAATCCATCCTTTTTTTTCAAAAATCTTGTAAAACAAAAGAACTCACAAATTTATAGTAACATTCATTTTTTATTCTTGTTCAGATTTTTTCTTTTGACTTTGCTAACGTTTATCTCTTTGTATTAAATATTCTTCTAATGGGTAGAATGCAAGGGTAAGACCTTTAGTCTACTTACTTTCTATTTTCCTTTTGTTGCCTTGAAGGATAATCTTTTTATGGTCATACTTTTTGCATGCAGGTGCTTGGAGAAGCTTATCAGGTATTGAGTGACCCTGAGAAGCGTGAAGCATATAACAAATATGGCAAAGAGGGAGTGCGGCAGTAAGTATTATCTTTTAAAAAAATTTCAAGTCCCAACAAATATAAAGGTGGTGGGCCCAACAATTTCAAGATTATTCATAGTAAAGTATGGGATAGAAATGTTGCATGATGTGACTTTTTGTTGAAAGGTACACAAGCCTTTCAGTCTAATGCATGAGAACAGGGAAATAATGGTTTGGGGGATGCAAACACCTTAACCTTTTTGTTGGCAGATACCCCAAAAAAAAAAAAAAAACACACACACACACTCTGCTCAAGTACGAGAAACTGGGAAACTCATATTTTAGAAGAGTAAAATACCATGAAGACATGGGTAATTTTTAGAGAGATAAATTAGAATATCAGGAAGGCCTTTCTCATGGTTACACATCCTAACTTATATCTACAAATATAATTCTTCCAGAATGCAGAGAATAAAACGCCCTTAATGCAATCATTTTCCTTTCAAGTGGAGCATTTGCGTCCTTCCATCCAATTTGTTATAAAATTTATTTGGATCTCAAGCTACCTAACAATTATATGTTTCTATTTAAACTTTGAGGTTACAACCAATTCTTTTGTGAAATATTTTTTGCCATATTTTTGCTAACAGTTTGATATTCACTTAAAAAGTGTCTCTGGATATAAAATTCCTTGTGCAAATCTGGATGTTGTTATGAATTGTTAACTTATGAAAATGTTAGGATATTTAGAATAAGTAAACTTTCTTGTACAAATCTTGATGTACCTACAAATATGAACAAATAGGAGCGTAAATCTGAATTGAATCTATAGCCACAAGGTGCATTCTAAGCTCCCAAAACTGGTGTTAGATTACAGTATAAATTCTGACAATCACTTATAAACATGTCAAGAAAAAACTAAGCCCAATTAGTGATAGGTGGTGAAATAGCACCTGTCAAACCATTGCACTTGCCAAACTGATAATTGCCCTTAGGGACAGTGATGATCATAGTGCAATAGAGCATTGCCCATATGGTAGGGAGGCTTCAATAGTAGCATAGTGTTGAGTTGTCTCTAGTGCTGCGCCCTAAACATGCATTGACTGTTTTGTTTCCTTTGCTTTTACCTTACCAAATAGAAGTGAAGAGGAAAAAAATGTTGATTTTAATCTGCATACATATTTCCCTCAGGGACTCTATGGTTGACCCTGCAACTGTGTTTGGAATGATGTTCGGGAGTGAATATTTTGAAGATTATGTTGGGCAGCTTGCATTGGCTACCATGGCATCTGTTGAAATTGATCAAAAATTAGCTCCTGAAGTTCAAAAACAGAAAATTCAGGAGAAGATAAAGGTTTACTTATGTCTTCTTGTAGTCATAAACGCCTCTTGTTTTATAACTTATCTGAATTAATTTCTCTTTCTTCTGAAGGCATTGCAAAAGGAAAGGGAAGAGAAGCTCATAGTACTTCTGAAAAATCGTCTTCTACCATTTGTTGAAGGTCAAACTACTGAGTTTGTGGAATGGGCAAAATCTGAAGCCCGTCGTCTTTCTCAAGCTGGTCAGCTTAGCTGCCTTGCATGTTCAATTGTGTTTCTAGTTTCAATCTTGATTTTACTATGCTGGAGTAATGAAAAAAGCATAACGTAAGAATTATCTTTTAGTTAGAATAGCTTGTTTCCGGGCCTCCTTTCCAACTTCTGGAAAAATGAATTTCTCCTTCCCATGCAAGATTTGCCTTTCAAACTGAGTTAACATTTTTTACTTTTAAATAAGAAAAATGTAATATGTGTAACCATGTTTGGAAACAAAAAGTTACTACTTTTTTTGTCAAGACTTATAAGCAAATGTTAGGGATGGGAGGTTAAAAGGAAAGATTAGACTCATAAGTATCATTTTCCAGCTTTTGGAGAGGCAATGCTTCATACTATTGGGTACATTTACACGAGGCAAGCTGCAAGAGAAATCGGGAAGGGCAAGCGTTACATGAAGGTTCCATTTCTTGCAGAGTGGGTGCGGGACAAAGGACATTGGATAAAATCTCAAGTTTCAGCAGCTTCAGGTGAAAATATATGCATGCACATTTGCTATTTAAGTTTTGTTCTTTTGTCAAATGCTGTGATGTTGACTAAGGATTTTCCCTCTTCCTATTTCTAGCTGCCGTGTCCTTGATTCAAATACAGGAGGAATTGAAGAAGTCAGGTGAAGGAGAGATTAAGGATGAGCATACGATCAAAATGTTGGAAGAAAAGAAAGATGCAATGGTTAATTCCCTTTGGCAGATTAACGTGGCAGATATTGAGTCAACTTTATCTCGTGTTTGCCAAGCGGTAAGTTCTACGAGCTCATCAAAGTTCTGAATTTTTTTAGCTTTTGTGACTCTACATATACAAGTCAAGGATGCTGGTTTGTGCAGCATCTTATGAATATAAGTTGGAAAATTGCAGAATCTTACTCCAACCTATGGTCCATGTAGCAAGTTGTTCCCTAACTGGGCATTTTAATATATGAACTTTTCGTCCAAGAATCCATTAAAAGGTCATTCTTTTAGTGAAGAGACAATTATATGCTCATTATAAATAAAATACTAGTTAAAAGGAAATTAATATTAAAAAGAAGGGAAAAGATAGAAAAAAAATCTAGGGAACCAACTTCTTACATAGGCCATAGATTGAGGACCAATGCTGCAATTTCCCCATATTAGCATGCTATCTTGGCTGCTTTATTTTGAGCTAGATTCAGACTTATTTATAAAAAGGCCGTATAGCTCATATGATTCTTGGGAGTTAGCTTCAATCTACAAGTTTTATCGTCCGAATGCAGGAAATACACAATATATCAATTAATTTAAGAACCTTTCATGATCTCCTCCATTTTTGTCAGGTTCTCAAAGATCCCAGTGCTTCCAAGGATGTTCTCAAGCTGCGAGCCCGAGGAATGCGGAAACTTGGAACAATTTTCCAAGTAAGTAACTGATTTCTTAGCCTCCTTCAGTCCAAATCATAAAATCGTACAAATTGACAATTCAAATGTTAATATCTATTAATTCAGATATAAATTTGATTTTATTTTCCACCTTGTTTGTATAACTATGAGGATGAAATTGAAACTTGTATAATTGGCTGTTAGATTGGAAAGTTGCTTTACATCAAGAAAAAGAAAAAGAAAAACAGATCATATCTGTTGAATTTTTATAAAATAATGAACAAAATGTTAAGAGTTGCTCAAATATTAACATAAGAAGAGTAGTTTTGATCATATATACAGTAACAAATTATCGGAGTGGACTAATCATGTGCGAGCAATGAAGCAGAATGCTTGTTGCATTCAACTTGATAATTCTGGCAGGTGCGAAAGTGTGCAGAAAGTTTCTCCTAGTTTTTGCACGTGTAAATTTGGTTCGTGCCTGGCATGAATTTCTGTTGGAATTTTTGTCTGAAACATCACCACATTTCCTAGAATTTTTTAAATCAAGTCTTGTCAAACATCTACGTCAAGCGTTCCTTGGTGGATTTTAGAGATGTACAAGGTTCATAGAACACCTTCCTCCTTGAAACCCTAAATTCAGAAATCTCAGTGACCTTGTTCATTGGTTGAGTTTTCACTTTATTGCTTTGTGCAAACTCACAAAGGTTTGTGATATGCTCAAAGTTATTTGCCAGTGGGTCCCAAAAACAATCTCAACTATCTCTGTAAAAAGGGCATAATTTATACATGTTTAAAGTCTCGAATTTCTTCGTGTTTCTTTCATTTATTCAATAAGTTCATTCTATTTTTGAAGTCATCATCTCTGGTTTTATTCTATCATTTGTAACAAGTTTCAGTCTTCAATCTTTACATATTTTTTCCAAAACATAGTAATTCTCTTCTGGAATTCTTCTGAGATCCTCTATAAGAAAATGGGAATGTGAACTAAGAACCTATGCATTATACACGTGTATACGCGTTAATATTTATTCATTGATTCGTTCTTTGTTGTAAACAAGCAGTTTTCATTTGTTCTCAGGGTGCAAAGGCAAATTACGTTAGAGAAAACAGTTTACGACATGAAACTACAGATCGACTAGATGGTGCTACATCATCTAAGTGAAGACCAAATTGCCTGTCTGCTTCAAATTCAGGTTGGTCAAAGTCCATGTAGTACTTATAGTGCTTACTTTAATTCAAATGTTTCGTAGGCCTATCAACATTGAGATAAATACACTTATTTTCGTGTAAACTCTTTCTGGCTGGACCTTTCCCATGTTTATACAATTCTGTATTTCTATTATACAGTGCTACATAAAGCATGCTTTATTCAGGTGAGATTTGCTAAGTTTGTAAATTCCAATCATGAAAGGATTTGATAGAATGGTATTTAGTTATTATACCAAGGAGTGCATATGAACTGGAACTGCATTAACCACTGAAAATATGACTTCCAGTTAAATCATGTAATGAAGTTTCATCATCTTCATCGGTGTTAGATGATCAAGGGGACAACTACGATCCATTTTATGAGTCGAGTACAAGGAAGAGTGAATACTAATGTGTGAAGAGCTAGGGATGGCAACGGTTCGGTTCGGGGTCGGTTCGTCCAAAACCATCACCGAACCATCAATTTTTTGGTCATACCATAATCGCACCATAACCACGAAAGTCGGTTCGGTTCGATTTCGGTTCGTATCTCGGTTCGGCTCGGTTCGGGTCGTTAATAACCACGAAAATAAATTATTTTTAATTGGTCCATCCGTCGAATTAAAATGAAAACAAAAACATGATACTAAGTTAATGTAGCGAACAACAATACATCCCAAATGAAAATGCAAAAAATATCCCAATTCTCAAACACAAAATCCAAATTTAACAATCAATATTCAATAACTCAAAAAGCTTCAACCTCAATTCATATTCAATCTTCATTCTTCTCCACAACTCTTACTGGCATCCGTCAAAACTCAAAGTTGATTCCTATATAGTATATAAGAAATGTAAGTAGATTAATAAATCAATAATCCATAATGTTTTTAACTAAATATTTAAACAAAAAAATGTACCTCTTCGTCAACATCCTCGTCATCAAACTTTGCACAAGCTCTGGAATATGATGAAGGACCAGAATTTTCTACACACAAAAGAGGAAAAAATTAGCAATAAAAGAAAGTGCATAAATAACAAACATAAAACAATACATCCTACCATGAATATCAGACCAAAGCCAATCTCGAGCACACATTAAAGCTTCTAAAGTCTTCGGGTGAAGCCTATTTCTATGTGGGCTCACAAATCTACCACTTGTACTAAATGCTGACTCGGATGCAACAGTAGATACTGGAATGGCTAATAAATCTCTTGCAACCTTCTGTAAAGTCGGATATTTTATTGAATTTGCTTTCCACCATGTCGATAGATCAAAACCGTCCACCCTAGGCAATACTGGCTCATCTAGAAAAACATCGAACTCTGTTTTTACATGATCAGCAGTAACAGAAAGACTAACAAATGTATCAAAACCAGCCATGCGAGAATGTTTTCCACTAGTAGTAGACGACTCTGATTGTGAAGATGATGGAAACAAAGATGTATTTTCTGTCGAACGATGTGGTCTCTTGTACTCTTTGAGCAACTTATGACCAAATGCTCTAACCTTTTCAACCTCTTCCTGAGTTTCATCTCCAAAAATCAAAGGAAAATAGTATTCAACTAGTTTCATCTTGTATCTAGGATCCAATATAGTTGCAACAGCTAGAATTTCATGCAAGCCACTCCAATATTTATCAAACTTTTCCTTCATGCTTGACGCCATCCATTTGACTTCATCGCTAGATGATGTGCTCCAATCACGGATTGCCAACTTTATGTCACAAATATTGGGAAAGTACAAATTGGCAGTAGGATATTTTGTTCCTGAAAATAATTCAGTCGCTTCATAAAATATCTCCAACTTATCACAAATCTCTGTAGCCAATTCCCAATCACTCTCACTCGGTACACTTCTGTAATGAGGCTTTCTTTGCCTTAGTCGAGGAAAAAGTTCTTTGTAAAGCAAAGCAGTATGAATCATTAGATACGTAGAGTTCCATCGAGTCTTGCAATCTAATAATAACTTTTTTCCACAAGGGATTTTCATTTGTCGTGCAACTGCCTCAAAAGTTTCAACTCTTTTTGGTGTTGCTGACCAATATGAAACACTATCACGAATTCTCTCAACACTCGGGCTAATGACATCCATACAATCCTTTACTATCAGGTTCAATATGTGTGCACAACACCGCAAGTGGAAAAATTCACCATTCAACAATAAAGAACCAAGAGAAAGCTTATCTAACATAATGTTAATCATAGCGTCATTCGTGGTGCAATTATCAACAGTCAATGTAGACAATTTCTGATCAATATTCCAATCAAATAGACAATCCATTAACACAGTAGACAGTGACTCAGCAGTGTGGGGACAAGGGACATATATAAATCTGTATGGATATGAAAAAAAGTTCATAAGATAACTTAAAATTTCAGAAAATACGATAGTAGCTTAAAGTCTATTTTATAAAACTATTGTACCTCAAAATTCGACTCTGAAGCCTCCAAGAATTATCTATGTAATGTGCAGTGATAGCCATAAATCCCTTCTTTTGATTGGATGTCCACATATCAGTGGTGACTGCTATTCTACTATTGGTCCTCTCTAACAAGCCCATTACTTTTGTTCTCTCATAATCATAAATTTTCAAGATATTAGCCTTGATGGTATTACGAGAATCAACTTTAAATAATGGTTGAATTGTATTACAAAACTTTCTAAACCCAGTATGCTCAACCATTGAAAGAGGATATTCGTGTAGGATGATCATATTTGCAAGTTCCGTCCTACCTTTCTCTTAATCAAAATTAAATGCTCCCATTGCAATCCTACCACTAGGTTCTTTAAATTGATTCAAAAACATCTATTTGACATCCTTCTGACCTCGAAGAGGACATCTATTTAAATGAGCATGTAAATGACTTGTCTCATTTTTCGACTCACCCCCTAACTGTTTGTTGCATTGTCTGCAAATTGCTTTGGACACATTATTAATTCTCTGTAGCTTAAAATGCTGCCACACTGAAGAGGTCAATTTTCTTTTTCTATTTTCCTCAGTCATCTCCTCATCATCACCTAAATCTATATGAATAGGATTTGCATTTACCTCACTTGGACTTTGTGAAGTAACTGGTGTACTTGTTGATGTATCTCCAACTTGAATTGAAGCAGAAGCACTTCCAATTGAAGCGGGGGGAGTAGGAACGGAAGATTCTGACCCTGGCAAGACATCTAATGACTAACACAAGATAATGACAAAAATTAAAAGTTCTAATACATATTTATAGACTAACATAATTGAAATATATACATAGATAACTAGTCTAAATTAATTTGGAACCAGCCATGTCATGTCATCAATTTCTGTTATGGATTAACAGAGTTATTAAATCTAAAATGAAAGAATATGTTCCAATGGAGATATGAACTAGTTTGCATGAAGTGGCAAATGGGGTTTTTCTACCAGGAAATTTAAGAGCAGTAGTTGTATTTTCTTTTGTTTGCTTATTCTTTTGAAATTAATTGTTTTTTTCCTTCCTTAAATGTGAAGATTTGTTTGTTATGTAAAATTTTTACAAACCTATATCTTTCTTTGTATACTGGTTGCATATGATCTTCCAATGAGAGGATTTATTTGTGCTTTCAAATAGTCATTTACCTCATTTTATAAAAAATAGTCATTTATAAAAATATAAAAATAGTCATTTATCTCAGATCTTTAAGCTAATGAATTATCGAAAAAAGAGAATACACAGGATAAATTCTGATAAAATCATTCTTGGACTGTTATGGATTAAAAGATTTTCATTTGACGGTGAGATCTATAAGAAAACAGTGGTAAGAAATCCATGTGGCTGCAAATTATATAGTTAATAGAGTTTTTCTTTTCTCTTCAAATCATATTTTTTTTCAGTGATCTAGCATGAGGAAAATTTTATCTTTCTGCATTTGTCTCTCTTGTAAAGTTCTACTTTATGTTCTGCCATTTACCCTGTTAAAAGAGCTTACACCATACCCAGATACAAGCATAACAAGAAAATATAATGTTCCAATCTATTTTTTTCTATGCTTTTGAGTCTCTTGCTATGTCAATTTCAATTTTTCTAATCCAAATTTCAGAATCTGTGGAAGATGTCTTCCTCATCTGAAGACGAAACAGTCAAAATTATCAATAATTCTTTCATGTCCTCAATTTATATTAACTACTTAGAAAACAAAGCCTAACTTCTTTCAATCATTTCATCAAACACTTTCTTTGCAAAACCCATTTTCCCCAATGTCCCTTAATACTAATGCAGTGAATTAAATCCATACTTCAACATGGGCGTGCACTTCAGTTCCTTCAAATATAGAAAAACTCAAATACAGCTAAAGCAGAAGAAGATGATTCGGTATTTCATTTACCTCAAATAGTGGTAGGACTGTCGGAGGCAGGAGCAGTGAAGCTCGTGGCTATGTGCGTTTTTGTAGTAGGGTGAACCGGTGATGTCGTGAAGATAACTGTCTGGACTCTGGAGGCGATGAGGCGTCAAGCGTGGAGGTGGAGCTGTGGTTGCCTGCTGCGTGAGTGTGGTCTGTGTCTGATTTCACTGATTTGTCATTTCTGAAGTAAGAGTAGGGTTTACAAAATTACACAGTTTACACTCTCATATACCCGAAGGTCCCGACCCGAACCCGATTCTATAATTTCTATTATTCTATATTTCTATAATTTCTATTACTATAATAGTCTAACACTATGGGTTATGGTAACTGGGCTGTGGGCAGTTGGGCTGGACGACTGGTATAGTAAATGTATTGGGCAGAATTTTATTTTGGGCTGGATAAAAATAGTGGAAAGTCCAATAACCAATTGCTCAATTATTATTATTATTATTTATTTTTCTTTACGGGTAATCGGTTCGGTTTCGGGGCAAGGGTGTAAATATCATACCCGCCCCGCCCCGCCCCATAGCGGTTCAGCAATATCAAATACCATACCCGCCCCATTGCACCATCGGTTCGATTTTTTTCGCCCCATTCGGTTCGGTTAACCACGGTTTTCGGTTTTAACAGTTCGAATTGTCATCCCTATGAAGAGCAACTATAGCTATTCGTGTGTGGAGTGATTTGGGAATGCTGATGATATGAATTATTACTGATTTCCTTTTTCTTTTTTTCTTTTTTTTCTTTTTTCCATACAATAGTACTAAAATGCTCTTTTTTTTTCTTTTTTAAATGGTACTTGGTTTATTTATTTATGTAATTGGGGTGATTTATAATGCCATGTTATAGATTTTTAAGGGGGTGTATTCAATTGAAATTTTAAATATTTAAAAGTTTGGGAGTATTCAATGTAAGCTTTTAAATATCCTGTAAAAAGTATTTGTGTATTCCATACTGGCTTTTCAAAATTTTTTAGTCTTCAAAAATTTCGATGTATTCAAAATGTTAGTGACTTTTAAAGACTTTTATGAAAGTCTCTAGTATTAATTTTTAAGTAGAAATTAAAAAATAATTAATTAATTACAAGCTCAAAATTTGTGTCTCATTCGTGATTCACACCAAGATTCTGTTAGACTTTCATAAATAGATTTTTTAATATATTCTTTGTTCTTTCTAGATTTCTCTTTCTTTCGATAAACTTTAGTTCCCGTTTGACTTTCATTAATTAAATTTCATTTTTCCTTCTCATATATTCTAATCACACAATTTTTCATAAAATAATATTATAGGTAAATCGAAAATTTTTCTTTCTTTTTAAATAACTCATTTTTAAAAAATATATATTATTTCACCCATTTTAATTTGAAAAAATGGGATAGGGGATTAGAATCATGATTAAAAAATTATTACTTTTCTTCTACCATGTACATTTGCTCTCTTTTTTCTCCATTTTTATTTTTTCCCTCGATTTGCTACTAAAAAAAATGGGAGCCATTATTTCTATCCATAATTTTTATAAATATGTCACACTCTTAAGAAGTTCTTCCCTACCAAAATTTTAAATTTTAAAAATTGTACTATATTCATCTGCATTTATTCCCACATTAACCTAATTAAATTCATTCATTTTAACACGATATATCCACATTGCTCTTATATATCCATCTCATTTATCCCTATTATAATTTTAAAATTTGACAATGACTAATTTATCCTCAATACTTCAATATTGTTTTAAGGGCTTGTCTTCATGTGCAGGGTAGAGGCTTGTGAGCCTCTCGGGATAGACACAAGGGGCAGGGTCCATGCGAATTCTTTTTTTCTTTTTTAATGCAGGTCGGACCCATGAAGAATCCGTACGTGTTAAAATCAGTATCTGACAAAGTGTTTTGATATTCAACTCTTTGGCCTTCGGGTCAGACTAAAGAGTCCGATTCCAATTTATCCCCTGTTTGGCTTCCATTTTGTAGAAATAAAAATGAGTGGAATGGTATTTTTTTTTTTTTTTGAAAAATGAATAGTTGAAAAAGAAGGAAATTTTTTTGATTTACGTGTAATATTATTTTATGAAAAATTGTGTGATTGAAAATAGAAAAAAGAAAAATGAAATGTAATGAAATAAAAATTAATTGGGCCAAACAGGAGCTTAATAGCCACACGTTTAAGTGGAAGAGGTTTAAAAGAACATGGAGTTTGATTTGGCCATTTGGGATGGATTGTTACTCTGAGCATTTGTTTCGCATTTGACTTGCGTTGGAGTGGAGTAGCGGGGTGGAGTTGGGAGGCAATTCTCTCTTTTTCCTTACATTTTTTTTTTTTACATTTAATTATTTTTATCTTGTTATTTGAATAAAATATAATTTTATTATTGTACCTTTTAAAATTGATCAAAACGCGGTCCAAGTCAATTTTTTTAATAAACTAACGATCAAACGGCGGAATCCATTTATTTGTCCTTCCTTTGTAACCAAAAAAAAACTTTGGAATTGTAGGTGACACAAATAAAATATTTGTATTAAGTCTATAGAAGGAAAAAAAGGAAATGTTTGGAATGCAACTAGAATTATTCCTAAATATTAATGGATGATTTTAAAGTAATAAAATTTATTTAATATTATTGTTGTCTATTTAAGTAAATTTATATAAGATTAAAAATGTAATTAAAAAGTGAATGAATATATAAAAATTGTGGATGGAAATAGCTATTCCCCAACAAATTAATTGTAATAAAAATTCTAAAAACATTTTTTTTAATTCAATTCTTCTTTATTATTATTTTTTTATGTAAAAGATCAATTTCTACTCAAAATTTATGAAGTTTCATAGAGAAAAGAAGACAAATTCGTAAATATTAATTGGTTATTTATTTTTTAAAGATCTGACATATTGACAATACTGAACATGAATATTTCTTTACTTCTTTTATAAAAAATAATTGAAATATTTTATTATTTATTTTTTATATTTTAATTAATGTGACTTAAAATTTCTTCTTATTCTCTTATAAATACTTTTATTACATGGAAGCTGGGGGAAATGAAGGGGATCGATCATCCATCTCCTATGTCGGATTTTTTCTGTGTCAAAGCCAAGTGAATTTTATTTTTAAATAAAAGTTTTCAAAAATCATTTGAATTTTACAAAAGTTTTTAAAAAAATTAAAATAAAAGTATATAGAAGTTTACACAAATTTTTTTTACTAATTCATACAAATCTATCAAAGACTATGAATTCTACAAACATCAATTACTTCAAAAAGTTCTTTAAAAATCGTTATTGAATAACCCCTAAATGTATAAAGTGGATAAAAAATATGTTGGAAATATTTTTAAAAGGAGTCAGACATTATTATTATTATTATTATTATTTTGGAATTTATTTACTAACCATATAAAAAATATGTTGGAAATATTTTTATAAGGAGTCGGAATTTTTATTTATTTATGTATTTATTATTATTTATTTATTATTATTTTTTTTTTGTGAATTTATTTACTAACCATTTTGAAAGTTCATTTTACCCAAAAGAATTTAGAGTTTGTCATTGAATTACGTACGTTCAAAATAAATAATGAGTTCAATATGTTTGATTTGACTAGATCTTTAAACTCGGCACAAGTTTGGGATCTCTATGGACGTCTGTAATGTTCGATTCTTGATTTTAGGGCTTTTTTTGGTGAGTATTACTGCCTGCTAATCCTACTAACGTGGCACTTGAAATTCGACTGTTGAGTTCTCTCGTTTATTCTCCTTGGTGTAAGATTTAATGGTTTAAATTCTTGTTTAATCTTTTAGATTTATTTCCGTACTTTAATTTGTCTTCTTATTTTGTTCTATTTTTTGATGATTGAAGCGTATAATGGTTGTTTTGAAGACTGGCCCACTGTTTTTTCGGGTTGGGTTTATAGTTTGGGTTCAAGAAGAGCTCTGAGAAGCCCTAAATTGGAGTAACTGGAATTGGGGGGCGGGGTTTGGCGAAAGGTGAGGATTTTATTTTCTTTTATTTTAACCTAAAGTGGCATGTGACTGTTATTTCCTTGATTCTTGACGATTGATGACAATTAAAAATTCCTTTTCAAAAAAATTTAATTTAGTTTAGCTTTGGGATTTTAATTATGTGAATAATAGTCAGTACTGGGACTCAATTAACACGAAGTATGCAGACTACAGTTTTGTTTAACTTAGGATTAGTGAAGTAGCTCTCTTTTATTTTATACTTCAGTCTTTTTGTGGCGATTGTGTTTGTCATCAATGGTTGTTGTTTCTCGATGTTATAGCAATCTGAGAGCTGGTAATAGTTGTTTTAACTTTTAATAATATAGACAGTGTTACCGTTTGTAGTTTATTATTATTATTTTTTTCAATTGTCAACTCCAAAATACTTCGAAGCAATATATCGTTGTCACAAATTTTTAATTTTTTTATACGTAAATACTATATTTTATGTTGCCTGTGGCAGAGGTGATTGTGAATGTATAGTTTTGTAGCTGTACTGGCTTTAGTTTGATGGCTGATTGAGTACTTTTAATTCATTGTTCCAGCGATAAACTTATGCTTGGAGTATTCCTGCTCTCAGTGACATGAAAGTTGGTTATCCATAAGTTGTTAGTTCTTTTTTCTGCAGCTGAGAAAGCATGGGCTCTGCTTGTTGTGTTGTTGTAAGGGATAGAGCTATAACAAATGGATCGTCAAGTGAAATTTTGCGGAGGAATGTCCGGTATTTACCATCATGGAGCTTTCAATGGGATAATCGTGGACAAGTAGCTGGGAAAGAGACATCTGCAAATTGGTTGCCAGATGGAGGTGGTGGTAATCATTGTCTAGATGTCAAATCTGGTACTACTGTAGAAACCGCATTTGCTTCTGAAGATGGTAGCCCATTGGATAGTTTCCGGTCACTTGCATGGCAGAAGTCCTCAATTACTGAAGGAAATGCTGGGATTTTAAGGCTTCCATTGTCTGGTAAATTCTATAAAACAGTTGCCAATTTTTTTGTAAACAAAGGGTGTGTTTGATAGGGTGGAATTGGAAAATGGAACTGGAATTGGATTTTCCAACTTTAGGTGTTTGATACATTTTTTTCCATAAAATTCAAATTCTTGGTATTCTTGAACTTTGGAGTTTTCTTGGTTTTCCCACGTACTGTAGCACATGTTTTTTTTTTTTTTTTTTTGGGGCCAATGGAAACAAATTTTATTCCTAATTGTAAAAAATATTTTCCTTCAATTGACAATTTTCATGTAAAACAAAGTCAAACGAACACCAAAAGATAATTGATTTTCTTTGCTTTTTGATTTTTGATTTTTTTTTTTTGGCCAATGGAAACAAATTCTATCTCTAATACCAGTAAATTATATTATTTTAATTGACAATTTTTAGATAAAACAGAACCAAACGAACACCAAAAAGCACTTTCATTTCAATATTTTCCACGTGAAAAATTATACTAATCAAACACAATAATTTACAATTCCAGGGAAAATAATTCTAGGCAATTCAATTCCATCTTTGCAATCAAACGGACCCTAAATAATGACGATGATGAAATTTGTTAAAATGAGATGCCCAATTTCTCAATTCCTATTGCTACAAGAACCCTCGCAAATGCAAGCACAATATGCAGGCTATTTTGTTTATGTTTCTCAGTTATTCATCCAACTCTTGTCTGGGTTCATTTGCCATGGTTATCAGTCCTCCTATTGACATTTTTTTACTTAGTAGTTTGTATAAAATATGAATGAACTTTTCACATAAAAAAGCTCTCGTCCTAAGTTCCTCCTTTTCACCATTGAGATATGGATATCATAATAAGTTTCTTTTTCCAGTCTATATTCCTCTTCCCAAGTGATATATATATGGAAATCTAAATTTTTTTTTTTGTCAGTTCATCTAGTTTGGATACACTTCATCTTTCCTACATGAATATGTATACATGTTAGTCTTGATTGACAAGTAATTACAGTATGATTCATGCCTGTCCATCTAGGCTGGGTGAAACAAAGTGTCATTAAAACGAAATGTCAATGCCTTTTGATTCGTAGATGTGATCATTACATAGAACATACATCTTTCAGTCTGACTCAAAAGAAAGAAAATTAGTTGTGTTAAAGGAGAAGACTGTCCGGCTCCCTGGTTTATGACAGAAAATGATTGTATAGTGAATGCTAAATTTTCGCTTTTGAGGTTGGTGGGAGAAAAGGTTTCAAGTGAAAGATTTTCGTATTGACAAAGATAAGTATGCTGACAGTATACCGAATATGAATGGATACTTTGCTCCTGTGGTTTATCTATATAATGTTGGCTCCAGATGGGCATGTATATAATGAAAATGGTATGGAAGTAGGATAAAACAATGAGTAGACATACAGAAATGTGTGTTAATAAATGATTCCTATGATGCTTTGTTGCCTCTGGGGAAAATGAAGGCTTCGTCTGGAACTTACAGAGATATGGGGTTGAGGCTAATGATTGATGGAGACATAGGGCAGCGTTAAAGGACAGATTAATGTCATGAATGATCACAAACTTTTATTGAAAAAGTTGGAATGCACCTTCATTATTGTCGTGCCTTACGAGGGACTGACTTTTCACTTCATCAAGATTTCATCTACTTGTAAAGGTTGTGAAATAATCATAAAACTATCCCAAAACTAGAAAAGTAACATATCTTAGAGAGAAGATATGAATGCACTTTATGTAATTATACCTGTATTTGATGGCTTGTGGGACTTGTTGCAGTGGTAAGAGTCTGTTCTGTTACATTGTCACTACACAAGGAAGACGGTTACCTGTCTGTACTTATCAAGAATACAGTCTGTTAGTGCTCATTCTTCCTACTTTGAAAGGCTACGTATTTTTACCATTGATTGCTTTATTATTATGGGATCAATCGAGACTCTTGGTTGATCTGCAGATATTTTGGTTTTGGATGATTCCTCTGTACGAGTTTTAGGATCTGTTAGTCATTGCCCTCTCGGCTGCTGAGTTTGGATTACCACTTTTCGGAGGGTAGTGGTGAGAGATTTATGCTGTCTATACCCGTAGACCTAGTGTCATGTGTAATGGTGCTCTGTTAGTTAATAAATCTCATTTATTGGCATTTTCTTTAATCTTCAAGGGATTTAGCGTGCTTCACAACTGAAATAATGCTTGATGTTCTATATTAGACATAATAAGATTTTTGCTAACTTTCTCTTATTCATTATTTAACTTCTCCTGAGTTGTATTTGCAGACTCATCCACTGCACAGAATTTGACGGAGGTATGCAAGGGAACTGATGAGTGATGATGTTGACTAAGTTATATTATTATGTGCTGGGATGTTTGTACACATGGATCAAGCTTTGTGTTTTTTTCCTTGCTTAATGCTCAGGTGAAGGAGTCGGCAGAGTTCTCAGTGGATCCATATCCATCTCCTGTAAAGCTGTCTCCTTCAGCACCTTCAGTTTCATCTCTTTCGACATCTCCTTTATCATCCCAAAGTCAGCTGCTTCATCCGTGCTCTACTCCTTCAAGGTGGCATTGCCATTCTCCTGGACACCAGCTATTACGACAAGTATCAGATAGTCGCATTCCAGTATACAAGTCACCGACATTATCAATATCTGGGGAGGAGGGGTCCTATGTGCTCCCTGCTTTGTGCAATGATTCAACAAGGGGGTCCAATGGAGGGTCTTTCGATAGTTGGTCAATTCCTGCCTCCTCCAAGCTCATGACAACTCGTAGAGAGAGGTGGTCATTTGATAGTGAATAATCGGGCTTCAATTGTCACAAAATAAGACAAAATCCAGTATCTCTTTCTTCCAGTCTCCAAAATTGCAGCATTTGTACGAAGCCTCTAACTCAGAGACCTTGATGGTGTAGCCAAGAACATGCTGCTGTTGCAGTTTTAGTTTGTGGGCACGTGTACCATGCTGAGTGCCTGGAGAATGTGACGCGTGAAGCTGACAAGTATGATCCAGCTTGTCCAGTCTGTACTTTTGGGGAGAAGTGGGCTTTGAAGACGTCCAAAAAGGCATTGAAAGGTGAAATGGATTTGAAAATCAGAAAGCGATCCAGGAATCACGTTGTTAATAGTGATCTTAGTGGTGATCTCGTGATGTTTGATGATCAGAAAAGCATTAGGCAGGAAGGAAGGGGCCTCAAATTGACAAGTTCCAGCTTGAAGAGCTCTTTAGGAATGCCTTTCTTGAAACGGCACTTCTCATTTGGGTCCAACCGGAATATATCCTTGCCTGAGAATCGTTCTACTCAAAGAAGGGGATATTTCTGGGAGAAATAGCGAGACCTTACTTATGGATATAAGAGGTAATTCTCGTCCCATGTTTGTGAGATAAGCAAAGCAAAATATTCGTTCGTACTTTCCAGTCGTTAGGTCTCCGAACGTGCAAAGGGGACACACATGCACTATAAATGAAACTTCAGACTTGAAATGCCTGAAAAAGTTGATTAGGGACTCGTGTACTTCAATTGTTGAAGTTTGAGAACATCAGCTGTAAATTTCTTGATTCTATAATGACTTCTGCAGCACTTAAGTGGCCTGTTGTAGTTCAATGTTCAGAGATCGATTATTCTGGTACGTCTGCTCACTTGAGATTCCACGATCGCGTCTTTATCTGCTGCCAGGATTAGGTCATCAGCATCTACATGAGGAGCAAAGGTTAGCCTAAGGTACACATTGTATGTAAGGTGCATTTATACAAATCAACAAATTTGATTTTATTATATAGAAGAAGGAAAAATAGTCGAAGGTCGATTGTAAATTTTTAATTCACATAAATAAATAATATATATAAAAAATACGTTAGAAAAAATTAAATACTTTAAAATTTAGTCAAATATGTGACATGTTACAATAAGTTATTTATCTTTACTTTAATCAAAAAAAATTATTTCTAATATAATAAATTAATTTGATTATAAATGAACTATTTAAATTTGAAGCTAAATTTGAATAATTGAATATTGAGCTTGGATTGGGAATTAAGTTAATTGAGCTAAAATTAAATTTTCTGGGCTGGGTTAAATTTTTGTTCTTCTTTGTTTCACCAATAATTTGGGCTGATTTTTCCAATTTTTACAAGTTAATTTGCTTTAGCCCAGCCCTGCCCCTCTCTCCCTCCGCCTCTCTTTTTTGTCATAATTTCATTGTAGCATTTTTTATTTTATTTTTTTCGCTTTTGTATTTTCCTTCACCCTTTTGGAGAGGAAGAAAATCACTTTTTTCGAATATCCCTTGATCGTGTTTTTCTTTCCTTTTTGTGCCTTTTGTACTAATGTCTTGACCTTGATCAAGTATTAGTAAGAGAATTATCAGATTTATAGTTTTTTTTTTTTTTTTTTAAACCAGATTTATAGTCCATTTGGAACAATTGTAAAATTAAAAATCACTAAAATGTTACTTTTCTATTTAGTTGTCAAACATTAATTTTAATTGTATCTTCGTATGGAGCAATGCTAGGCTGAAAGATAGGTTTAAAAATAGGCTGCACACGAGTCGATGTATGATTGGAGAATTAGAAAAATAAAAAATGAAAAAACATCATACAATTTGCTGCCACATCAGT